ACCCATGTCAGGGGCGAGCCACCTTCCCCCTAAAGCCCCACCTGCCTGACGGCTGAGACTTCTGCCTCATTTCCAGACTCCCAGGGGCCCTTGAACGTCTTGTTATTTGCTAAATGTGCAGGCACAGATTGCCTGTACCTCCCCTCGGACCTTCCTGCCGCTTCCTATAGAGCTGTCTGAAGCCTGGAAATGTTTATTTGTCTTTGGAGAAATTCTAGTTCCACCCGCCCCAGACTCATCAATTACAGTAACAGCCGGAGCTCCGGAACTTTCTGGAGCCTGTTCCAGCAGACTTGAAATCTCTGCTTCAAGTCCTCTCTGTAACCCCATATGAGATGAGGAAACTGAGGCAGATGAGCTCATGAACGCAAAGTGCCAGAGCTTGGGTTCAACTTGTCTCAAAGTTTGCGGGATTTAAGGCTGGTGTGGGAAGTGTTCTGTTTGGCAGCCCCTCCCCCAGTGTGTGGGGGTTGGGTCCTGGGTTGCCTGGAGAGCCCCAGTTTACGCCTGCTTACCTGACGCATTTGTGACTAGTGTTCTCTTTAACTGCAACGTGTTGTGGTTTGGGAGAGAAATTCTGTGCTCACCCTGTTCACGTGCACCCTGAGGAAGCTCTGACGGCACCACACAGCCTCTGATACACACTGAGAAAGCCAGTGCTAGGATGTGCCTGTCAGCAGGAAGAGCTGTGAGCGTCTACATCCACATGTAGACATATCTGTACACGTTCATTCGCATACACACATCCATATATATACATGCCTTTACACACATCTGCACACACGTCTGTATACACACTACACACATCTACATATGGACACATCCATATACACAGACATCACTGTACACACACATCCAAATCCACGTATTCATACACACCCATCTGTGTATTTCCATATATCTGTATACATACACATCTACACACATCCATGTACAGATACATCTGTACACAGATGCACACACATTCGTACACACACATCTGCACGCACGTCGGTAGGGAAACACAGCATTAAGTAGTGGCGGTCTGGTAATAGCGAGTATTGTTTTGACACCTTTTGGGTGAACTGACCGGCTAGTGGCTATCAGAGGGGTGTGTCCGCAGGTTGGTGGGGCCATCAAACATGGTATTTGTAGTTGCTCATGGCTTTTCTAAAGGATCTCCCATGTGGGTCCTTGGAGTGTAGTGAGCTGTCCCCGTGGCCCACCTGCCAGTGTCTGTACCAGTGAGCAACAAAGTTCTGCCTTCACGGGCCTCAAGGACTTTGGATTGTATTGTAAGAAACGCTGGAGTGTCATCATTCGACGTGTCTGGTCACCACGTGGAGATCAGTTGCCAGCGGCAGGATGGGAGCTGGGAGAGCCAGGAGGATGTTGCAGTCAGACAGGCTCGATAACCAACGCTGGTGCTGGTGCGCAATGGAGGTGGCAGATGGGGTTGGTTCTAGTCACATTCCGTAGCGATAGTCGACTGAGTTCCTGATGGCTCCAACGAGGGGGTTGTCAAGGAGAGAAGAGGAGTCCTTTGTATTTATGTCTGAGTTTGTAACACAGGTTTCTAATTTTGAGAAATCCAGAGTTTAAAAAATTGGGGAAGGGCTGGGCATAGTGGTTCATACCTGTAATCCCAGCACTTTGGGAGTCCAAGGTGGGCGGATCACTTGGGCTCGGGAGTTTCAGACCAGCCTCGCCAAAATGGTGAAACCCGTCTCTACTAAAAATACAAAAAATTAGCTGGGCATGGTGGCGCGTGCCTGTAAACCCAGCTACTCGGGAGGCTGAGGCAGGAGAATTGCTTGAACCCAGAAGGCGGAGGTTGCAGTGAGCCGAGATCGTGCCATTGCACTCCAGTCTGGGTAACAACAGCAAAACTGTGTCTCAAAAAAGCAGAATAAATCAAACGGAATGAAAGAGGTAAAGATAATAGTCAATTAAATAAAAAAGGGGACAGGCACAGTGGTGCATACCTTAGAGGCCAAGCTGGGCAGATGGCTTGAGCTCAGAAGTTTGAGACCAGCCTAGGCAACATGGCGAAACCTTATTTCTTTTTCTTTATTTTTTTGAGATGGAGTCTTGCTCTGTCACCCAGGATGGAGTGCAGTGGTGCGATCTTGGCTCACTGCAACCTCTGTCTCCTGGGTTCAAGCTATTCTCCTGCCTCAGCCTCCTGAGTAGCTGGGATTACAGGCCGGTGCCACCATGCCTGGCTAATTTTTGTATTTTTTTTAGTAGAGACAGGGTTTCACTGGTGAAACCTTATTTCTACAAAACAAAAGCCTGGCATTGTGGTGCATGCCTGTAGTCCCACCGACTTTGGGGGCTGAGGCAGGAGAATTGCTTGAGCCTGGGAATTCGAAGCTTCAGTGAGCCGTGTTAATGCCACTGTGGTGTGGTCGTAGCTCACTGCAGCTTCCAAGTCCTGGGCTCAAGGGAGTGTGAGCTAGGACTATAAGCAGGCCCTACCATGCCCGGCTAATTTTTATCTTTCTTTTGTTGAGGTGGGGGTTCTCAATTTGTTGTCCAGACTGGTCTCAAACCGGTGGCCACAAGAGAGCCATCGTGACCTCTCAAAGTGCTGAGATTACAGGTGTGAGCCACCATGCCTGGTGCAAAAATGGTTCTTTGAAATTGATCAATCTCTAGTTAGTCAAGAATAAAAGGAGAGAAGAGAATTTGCCACTATGAGGAATAAAGAGAGGACATTTCTACAGATCCTGCAGACATTAAAATGGCATTACATGTAACTTTATGCTAATACATTTGGCAGCTTAGAGGAAATAGACAAATTTCTTCAAAGACACAAACTATCAAATCTCTCAGGTTACTCAGGAAGAAAGGTAATCTGAATAGCCCTACATCTGTTAAAGAAAGTGAATTTATAGTTTAAAAACCTTCTTACAAGGAAGCGTTATATCTAGTTGTCTTTACTGGTGAATTTTGGCAAATATTTAGGGAACAAATAGAAACAATTCTGTGCAAACATTTGCTGAAAAATAAGAACACACTCCAATTCATTTTATTAGGCTAGCGTTATCTGCATGCAGATACTATGAAAAGAAAACACAGATCAATATCCCTCATAAATAAAACAAAAACGCTTAACAAAATATTAGCAAAATGTAATTTAGCAGCCAGGCGAGCTCATGCCTGTAATCCCAGCACTTTGGGAGGGTGAAGCAGGCAGACCGTGAGCTCAGGAGACCGAGAGCATCCTGTCTAACATGGTGAAACCCTGCTCTACTAAAAGTACAAAGAATTAGCCAGGTGTGGTAGCATGTGCCTGCAGTCCCAGCTACTCAGGAGGCTGAGGCGGGAGAATTGCTTAAACCTGGCAGGCAGAGGTTGCAGTGAGCCAAGAGCATGCCACTGCACTTAAACCTAGGTGATGGAGCAAGGCTCTGGCTCAAAAAAAAAAAAAAATATATATATATATATATATATATATATATATATGAACTGTGGCATCTTTTTTAAAATTTAATTTAGCAATTTATGCAAATTGTAAGATGTCATAATCAAGTGGGGTTTGTATCAGGAATGCAAAATTTAGTAATCAAAAATTAATCTAATTGACAGACTAAAAAAAGAAAAGCCATATGATTCTTTCACTAGTTGCAGAAAAAGTGTATGATAGAATTAAACATCCTTTTATGATTTTCTAAAAAAACCTCATCAAATTGGGAAAGAAGTAAACTTTTTCAACCTGGTAAAGAAAATCTATGAAAAACCCATAGCTAACAGCTAAGATGAGGAACAGGGCAAGGATGTCTGCTGTCACCACTTTTAGTCCACATTTTACTGGCGATCCTAGCAAGTGTAAGGGAAAGGATATACCAGACATGCAGACTGGAAAGGAAGAGATACAGATGTTACAGACAACATTGATTGCAGAAAATCTTAAGGAATCTATATTGAAATGCTATCAGAATTAATAAGTGGGTTTAGCTAGGTTATAGGCTACATGGACAATATACAAAAATCAGTTTTATTTGTACATACTCATAAACAATTGGAAAATGGGGAAAAATGCCATATATAACAGCATCAAAAAACAGGAACTACTTCAGGCTAAATTTAACACAGTATGTATAAGACCTAGACACTTAAAGTTCACAACATTGCTAAGATAAATAAGATCCAGTTATTTGGGAGACAGTTCTCCAGCTGCACCACCACTCTTACACATTAGTGGGACTTGTCACACCGGTGGGCTTTTCTTGAAGCCACCGTGTGGTCACTGCCCTTTGGATTTGTTTGCGTTTGATGGCAGCTTATATTTAGCCCATTGGAAACTCAGGGTTTGTATTCTTCCTTCTGGGCTTTTCATCTTTTCCCTCCTGGCTGCTGAAGCGATCGTGCCGAACAAGGTGAAAAGTCCACCTTCACAGGCAGTAAGATAATATAGATAAGTGACACCATCACCCTGTTTCAGATGTTACCATGTCTAGGTGTGTTAGGGGTGATTTGAGACCACACAACCTTGTGCCACAAAGTGGAATTCCTGGGCCGGGGGAGGCATTTGATTGCCACGTTATGATCTTCTCAATGAGTGTAAAGGCAGTCTCGTTTCATTTTGGATTCTTTCTTCTGTTGATATCTTATAAGGGGACTTTGAATTTCCAAGCATATAATAATTTTTGGTTAGCTTTTAATCATTGACTTCTAACACAATTCTGTGACCAGAAACCTGCTGTGTGATTAAATTTCTCTGGAATATATTGAGATTTGCTTGATAAACAAAATAAGTCGGGTTAATTTTTGTAAATGTACCTCACATGCTTAAAACTAGCGTAGCTCCAACATTTGTTCCTGAGATACAGGATGATGGACTATGGCTGTAGGGATGTGATGGAGGTGCTTTACCATTGGGTCCTTCCGAATCCTTCTGATGTTTTGTTGCTTAGAATATGAATGGCTGAGAGGGGGCTGTAGAGCCTCCCAATCTGCTTGTGTGTAAGGTTCTTCCTGCCATCCTGCCATCATTTGTTTCTTATATTTTGCAGCCAAGACTGACCATGAGAAACCCTGGAAGCTCAGGAAGGAAGGAGCCACCCAGGAGCAGGGACAGGGACCTGGCGGGGAAGACCAGAAATCAGGTCTGTGAAGGTTCCAGAGAGGACATGTCCTTGCGAGTCATGTTTGGGGCTGAGATGGGGGAGGGGCATTGGAGGACACAGGTGCTCCGTGGAATCTCCACTGTGAGGTAGCATGTTCCGGGGCCAGGGATTGGTGGAGAGGGAGTATAAAGCACGAGGGTTGCTTAGGCAGCGCCCAAACAGGAGAAGTTTTGGTGGAAACCAGAGCCCTGGTCTCCGTCTAATTGCTCCTGAGCCTCCGGCTTTCTTACCTGATAGACTTTCTCCCTGACTTGTAGTTGAACCTCCCACCCGAACTTGAAGACTTAGTTTCAACCCGATCCTTTCCTAGACTCCTTTCTCCTCCCCCTCCTCCAGGTGCCCAACATCCCCCATTCCCCTCCCTCCCCTTTCTTCCCATCCCCCTCCCCAAGTCAGATCCTGCCCCATCCCCATCCCCTTCCCTCCCTCAGCCCTAAGCCACCCCCACCTCTGTCCTGGCCGCCTCAGGGCACCCTGAGAGGACCAGGACATGCGGGTGCCGTGGCTGCTCTTTTGGCTCCTCCTGCTGGGATTTCCCAGCCATCAATCCACCCCTGTGAGTAGACGCTGGGCCCTCGGGGTTTCTTCCTTCTTATTGGGCTGTGTCACGTGGCATATTACACAGTGCAGGCCTGTAATTTAGCGCTTTGAGGGGTTAAGGTGGGCAGATCACCTGAGTCCAGGAGTTCAAGCCCGGGCATCATAGCCAAACCCCTTCTCTACAAAAGATTCCAAAAATGACTAGTCGGATGCCTACTGCACTCTTGTCTCAAACAAAACCAAAACAAAGTGAAATGTCATTTGAGTTTTGTGTCATCTGGTTTGATGACTTTTAGGAACTTCTGTGTCATTCGTGTTTTCTGCTCTTGGGGGCTGCCTCTAGAGGGTCTGTGTCCAGTCAGTGTGATGGGAGCTGAGAAGCCCATCAGATGGAGAGGAAAGGGCTGCACCTGCTGGGAGGTTTGCAATGCGGGAGTCACTGGGAGTGATGTGACCAGGATGTGAGTGAGGACTGTCCTTGGTTTTGTGAAATGTGTTTGGTGCAGATCATTGATTGACCCAAAGGAGAAAGGCTCTTAAAGTCCTTATGTTATTTAAATATAAAGAAATGACAGGCCTGGTGTGGTGGGTCACACCTGTAACTGGGAGGCTGAGGCTGGCGGATCAGTTGAGGTCAGGAGTTTCAGACCAGCCTGACCAACATGGTGAAATGCTGTCTCTACTAAAAATATAACAAATCAGTCAGGTGTGGTGGCAGGTGCCTATAATACCAGCTACTCAGGAGGCTGAGGCAGGAGAATGGTTTGAACCCAGGTGACGGAGGTTGCAGTGAGCCGAGATTGCACCACTGCACTCTAGCCTGGGCGACTGAGTGGGACACTGTCTCAAAAAAAAAATTTTTTTTTTGTTTGTAATTTTTGTTTTTGTTTTTGTTTTTTTTTTTGAGACAAAGTCTCCCTCTTGTCTCCCAGGCTGGAGTGCAATAGTGCAATATTGGCTCACTGCAACCTCTGCCTCCCTGGTTCCAGCGATTCTTCTGCCTCAGCCTCCTGAGTAGCTGGGATTCCAGGCACCCACCACCATACCTGACTAATTTTTGTATGTTTGGTAGAGATGAGGTTTCACCATTTTGGCCATGCCGGTCTCGAACTCCTGACCTCAGGTGATCCCCTCGCCTCACTCTCTGAGAGTGCTGGGATTACAGGCATGAGCCACTGCGCCTGGCCTTTTTGTGATATTTTTTAGACCATCAGCTATTGTTAGGGTTAGTGTATTTTATGTGTGGCCTAAGACAAGTTTCCTCCTTTTAATATTGCCCAGGAAGCAAGAAATTTGGATATCCCTGCTTTACGTCAAGAAAAACAAAGACACTGTATCTTTAGAATGCCTAAACACACTACCAGCCATGCAAATAACCTGAGACAGGTAACTTTCAATCTTGTGAAGCAGTGGAATCCCCTGGTGATATCTGAGGGGTGTGGTTACCTCTTGGAGGAGTTGATGGTTTCTAAAGATTATTGTTTTTTGCTGAAATATTGTGAATGTCACTGACCTTTTCATGATTTCAACTGTTATTATTCCAGGCCATCAGTTTTCCACCTGATTATCTGTATCCTTGGCATGGCTTTCTTGGCGTTCTGTGGATGCTTTTAACTATTGTGTTTCTGGGAGTTTCTACCGTTGGCCTTTTCCTCCGAAAAATTACCTTCTGTGTGAGTATACTAACTTCCTGTAGAGATATACTTGTAATCACACATAAGAAGAAATTATTTAAAACAATTCATGGTTCTGGACTTCATTATGAATATTGGGTTTTACCAAAAACATCAGGGAAATGATTTATTAGCATAAGAATTATAAAAATATCTGCCATTTACATTATGAAAATTAAATAGATTGATGTTTGTTGAATAGAATGTCAACAGAGCTTTGGGTCAAAACTAAGTTTTCCTTTTTTTAACCTTTGTGATCTTTATCAGAAATGGAGTATGAAGTTTTGGCACTTTAAATAGGAAATTCTGTCTAAACTTTTCGCTTCATAATTCTATCATATGGCTGGAAGGAAAGCTTTCACTCTCCTCTCTAAAGATTCACTGCAGAAACTGACAACAGACAGCTTAACAGGAGAAGCTGTTTATACAACAGGCAGAAACATGGGAGCCAGCCGAGAAATGAGACTGCAGGAAGGGTCAGATGGTTGGTGCTTAAAGGGCACCCTCTTTTCAGGGGAGATGGAGATGGGGGCAGTTTAGAGGGGGAGTAAGTGATTTTTAGGGGAAATGAAAGAGCCCAAGGAACAAAGTTGGCCTGAGACAAAGTTCCTCTGAGATCATGGGGAAGAGGCAACAAACGGCAGGACAGCGAAGGGCAGAGCTGCCTCTCATGATGCAGAGAAAGCCCCAGAGAGTCTGTTGGAACTGCCCTTCAGAGAATCAATGAAGAGTGTGTCTGGGCAGTGTCATTTCAAATGACATCATCAAAGTGCATGTTCCCGGTTGCAGGTGGAGAGGGACCAGTATGTCCAAAGTCTGTACTTGGTAGGAATTTGGCTGCTAAGTTGTGTCATCGTTTGAGCCTTTTTGTCCATTGGGTAGAGTGAGCGCTTTATTTTCTCTTGCCTTTCATGACAGTAAAAACGTGGTTGTCTGGGGGCTGACCCTCCTCCTGAACAATGATCCAAGAAAAAAGCACTAATCCCACAATGCTTTTTATATTTGAGGGAGGAGGAAGTATGTTTTATTTTTACAACCTAGATATTTACCTGCCATTCGGGACTGCCTTTCTTTCTTTCTTTTTTTTCTCTTTTTAAATGGAGTCTCACTCTCTGGCCCAGATTGGAGTGCAGTGGCACAATCTCAAGTAGCCTCTGCTTCCTAGGTTCCAGTGAGTCTCCTGCCCCAGCCTCCCAAGTAGCTGGAACTACAGGATGTACCACCATGCCTGGCTAATTTTTGTATTTTTCGTAGAGACAGGATTTCCCCATTTTTGCCAGGCTGGTCTTGAGCTCTAAACTCAGGTGATCCACCTGCCTCAGCCTCCCAAAGTGCTGGGATTACAGTTGCCAGTGACCACGCCCTGCTGCATCTAACAGTCTCTACCTCACTTAGTCCTGAACAGAGAATTGTCAATGTTTTTTTTTTTTTTTTGACAATCTGGCTCTGTCACTCAGCCTGGAGTATAATGGTGTGATCTTGGCTCACTGCAACCTCTACCTCATGGGTTTAAGTGATTCTTCTGCCTCAGCCCCCAACGAGTGGCTGGAATGACGGGTGGTCACCACCACATGCAGCTAATTTTTGTATTGTTAGTAGGAATGGGGTTTTACCATGTTTGCCAGGCTGGTCTCAAACTCCCAATCTCAAGTGATCCACCGACCTCAGCCTCTCAAAGTGCTGGGATTACAAGCGTGAGCCACCACGCCTGGGGAGGGGATGTTTTTCAATGTACCATTTCTAATTTTAACTAAATTACCTGTGAGTTAAAATCATAAAAATCAACTTCTACAAAGAACTTGAAAGATGTTCTTTCAGGCTGGGCGTGGTGGCTTTTTCAGGTCACCTCTTCTGCAAGAAATGCTCTTGACAACCGGGTAAGTTTTCTTTGTTTGTTTCCCGTGCTTTGGGGCATAGTCTGCCAGATGAGGACGTGGATGTATTTTTCTCCCCACAGCGCTGTGCTCAAGCCTTGGAGAGGGAGATGGCAGAGAGCAAGGCTGCCTACAAGCGGCACAGGTAGGTCATTGTGATGGCTTTTTTTTCTTTTTGAGACTGAGTCTCTGTTGCTCAGGCTGGAGTGCAGTGGCAAAATCTCAGCTCACTGCAACCTCCCGGGTTCAAGCAATTCTCTGCGTTAGGCTCCCGAGTAGATGGAATTAAAAGCACGTGCCACTCCGCCTGACTTTTTTGTATTTTTAGTAGAGACAGTTTCTCTATGTTGGTCAGGCTGGTCTCAAACTCCCGACCTCAGGTGATCTGCCCACCTCAGCCTCCCAAAGTGCTGGGATTGCAGGCATGAGCCACCGCACTCAGTTGTTATGGACATTTTTAAGGATTTTTTTTTTTTTTTTTAAGATGAAGCTTTGACTGAGGCAGGTGGATTACCTGAGGTCAGCAGGTCAAGACCAGCCTGGCCAACATGGTGAAACCCCGTCTCAACAACAACAACAACAAAAAAAGATGGAAGCTTTGAATGTCTAGTAAGAACGTGGTGTTTTAATTCTTCTTCAAGTCAGTTCTTTCTCTGTCTTCTAGATGGAGAATGAGGAAAAAGAAAAGAGTGCCAGGGAGACACATGAGTGAGGAGCCAGCCCAGAAACGCCTGTGCCTGAAGAACGCTTTCTGGCGAGGTGGGAGCTCCCGTGAAGGCAGCCGCTTAGTTTCCGCTGCAGGACCCACACGCCCTGCTTCTCCTTTTGGGGGTGAGGGCTCAGGTGGGGTCATTGTCATGTTTCCTGGAAACACTTCCAAGCACTTGTGAAGAGAACAGTTGTCCCGCTGGGGGGCACGACCCCATTTTTCTCAGGTACCCTAGCTGAATGGCTCTTGGCTGGACCCGTGTGAATGGTGGAGCTCAGGCCCCTCCACTGACTGTGGACTTTGCCCCCCACTGATGTCTTGGTTACTTTTAACTGTGAAGATGAGCCTACAAGGCAAATGGGCCAGCTCCCCCTCCCACCTTGAGTTGGTGTGAAGGCTTTGTTTTTCTTTCCTTAGAGAAAAGTACCAACAATAGCATTTTAGAATGGGAGCTGTAAGTGCTGAGGAGAGCAGAGATTTTCGGGCAATGTCTTCATGGCTCAATAAAGCAGTACCTGAGATCTGCTTTAAGAAAAGAAGCCTTTATTTGCACTTTTTGGAACTTCCTTCGTTCTTTTTGCTCATTTAAATTGTTTATTGTGAACTAGATAACTTCTTTAGTAAGCTAAATTTCTATGTAATCTTACTCCTCTAACATTTGAAGTGTGACCCTCAAACTTTCCGGTTGATTTCTTTCTCTCTTTTCTTTCCTTTTCTTTTTGAAAACCTCACTCTGTCACCCAGGCTGAAGTGCAGTGGTGCAGTTTTTGCTCACTGCAACCTCTGCCTCCTAAGTTCAAGCAATTCTCCTGCCTCGGCGTCCCAAGTGGCTGGGAATACATGTGCCTGCCACCATGCCTGACAAATGTTTCCTTTTGTGTTTTTAGTAGAGACAGAGTTTCACCATGTTGGTCAGGCTTGTCTGTAACTCTTGACCTCAGGTGATCTGCCCACCTCAGCCTTCCAAAGTTCCGGGATTAGAAGTGTGAGCCACCTCACCCGACCCCCATTTAATTCCTACAGCGCTTACCTTTTCTCATGACTGTTAGTCTCTTTATGTTCATTTCTGTTCATAAATATTGGCAATGCCTGGTGAGATGTGGAGGTTAGATTCACTATGAATCCACAGGATTTTAAATGCCCCAACAGCTGAAGAAAAGGAGCAGTGCTGCAACTGTCCTGGGCCTGTAGCTGTTTTTCCTCCACGGCTGTTTCTATTTGAATTTGGAGTCTGTGCTCACATGATGGGTGATTTCCTCTGATGTGTACTGGGAACCCCTGATTTAAAACTCATTTCCAGCTGGTTAGAGCCCGACTTGTCCACAGCCTGTTGAGAGTTAAGCAAACCCCTGGACCAGGACTCTGCAGTATCTTCCTCAAGGCTCAGGCCCAGAGGGCACCAGGGTCCTCTGATGCATCTGGTCAGTTAACCCTGTGCCTCTGGTAAGGGACCTGAGTGTGGCAAAGAGCGTGAGATGGCAGCAAAAGGCGTGGAGGGTTTCTTATTCTGCACAGAACATGCAAGCCAGATTTAGCTCCATTTCCTTCTCTTGCCCTTAGCAGATTCAGGACCTCATTCGGTTCCCATGAGGAACAGCAGCTGCGTCCCAAGTGAAATCACAGAGAAGACAAAGGTAAATGCTGGGGTCATTTTCACTCTGCCTGTATCAGGACACTGTAGTCTTTTCTTCCATCGTCCTCTCCTCGCCTGGCCTCTGCTCTGTAGGTTCTGCGATACCTTTTCTTTCTGGAATTTTTAGAGCAAAATCTTTCCCATAAGCTTTCTGGCTTCTTCAGTCCCAGCTAGTCATCTTGGGTGGCACCTCCAGAAGCCATAAATGCTTAGGGACTGAGGGCTGAAGGGCTTTTACTGTTCTGTTTTCTGAAATAGCATGAGGAATGCCACTGACCTCCACTCTCGTAGGTCTCATGGCCCAGTGAATGCTGACTGATCTCTGTTACTCAAGGTGTTGTGGGGTCTATTTCTGATTGAAGTGGGGTTTTCTTTTATTTTGTTTGTTTTTATCTATAAGGTAGGTGAGTAACATTTGAAATATCTGCTGTATTCTCAGAAGTGATGAAAGTGAAAACCCATTAATCCAGCATTAATATGTGCTTTGTGCAATTCTGAATGCTCTTCGTCAAGGTCAATTCTGTAGTTCATCACAGTCCCATTCCTGTTGGTAACTGTGTTGTACAAAATCACCTTCACCCCCATTTGGTTGTGCCCCGATCTAACATCTAAGTGTCAGAGTTTCTGTATTTGTAGTAAAAAATATGCCTCGATTGTGAGTGAGTGAAAGTGAATGTAACCTATTACCCACAGCGACAATTCCCAACCAAGGCCTTCCATGATACGCAGCTCTGCTGGTTTTTGTTTGGCTTCCGCACCTTCAACAGCTGCCGAGTCCTGAGATTACACGTGATGGGAACTGTACACTAGAAATTAAACACGTTTCTAAAACTTGCTTTTTTCAGAATTTCCACCTCATTTTTCCCTGGACAAAAGTATTATTTCTGTCATAATGCACTTAAAATTTGTATTACCTGGGAGTTAAAAGAAATCTTCTGGCCATGCCTAACTGACTTGTGTATGTCGGATTGCTCTGACAGAAAACCCTCTCCCAGTTTCCCTGCTTCTCTTCAAGAATCCACATTTCCCCCGAGCCATCTGTGCTCATGGGGGGGACCCCCAGAGTGAAGAAGACCCTTTGTCAAGAAGGGAATCATAGGGAAAATGAGAGGGTCCTGTAGGGAGAGCTGGAATAGACTTCCACTCTGCCTCCTGCAAGCTCTGTGACCCTGGGCACGTGTTCTTCTTCCTCGGGGAGCCTCTGTTTTCTTAGATTTGGAGCGGGGTAGTCACGCTGACTTGCAGAGTTCTGAGAATCAGAGACAGAACATAAAAGGCCTGGAGAACATTCTCCTAAAAGAAGCTGTAACACATGTGTGGACAATGGGCTCTTCATGCCTCTCTTACTCGCTATTTATCTGATGCAAAGAACATGCTCTGGTGATGGCGGTGAGGGAGGAATGAGGATGGACAGAGACACTCCTGTGTCTGAAACATGCTTCTTCCCTACTGCGCCATGACTCTGTCTTCCCTGGGGCAGGCCCCCAGCCTGCCTACATTTGCAGAGAGATGCAGTGGCATGCAGAGAAAACAGTTTGTCCCAACGACTCTTCTTCACTCCCCAGCTGTCAGTGGTACTTAGTGGAAGGGTGACTTCATGACACTGATGCTGCTGTTTTGAAACCTGGAGGATGGAAAGGTGCAAAAAACTATCAGCAGCAACATAAGTTGCAGCCTGTGTTGTTGGTGGTGGTTCTGTCTGTCAAATTAATACATGTCAAAACACTTCCTCCTTCTGCCCGCAGGTTAACATGGCTGCAGCACAGCCTCATCACTGCTCAGCATTGCCCTGCTCACCCTACCTCATGGCTGACCCTTCAGGACCACTGATGGCTTGCCCGCCACCTCCTCCATCTGGGTGTCATCTGGGAGCTCCACCATTCCCATCAGCTAAAGGTGTTCTGGGACCTCTGACAACTCCTCGACTCCAGTGTCCACTAGGACATCTGCCAGCTTCGTCAGATGATGAGTTTTCGAGACCACAGACACCTACACCCGCATGTCTTCTGGCTGCTTTACCACCTTCTTCAGCCAATGATTTTCTGAGCCCATACACAATTCCACCTGAGTGTCTATGCACACAGCTGCCAGCTTCGTCAGATGATGAGTTTTCGAGACCACAGACACCTACATCCGAATGTCTTCTGGCTGCTTTACCAGCTTCTTCAGCCAATGATCTTCTGAGTCTGCACGCAACTCCACTCAAATGTCTACAGACACCTCTACCACTGTCTACAGATGATGATCTTTGAAAACCACGGACAGCACCACTCAAGTGTCTTCTGCCACCTGTTCCACCTCTCCAGATGATGATACTTCAAGAACACAGACACCACCACTTGAATGCCTTCCGGCATGTATACCACCTTCTCCAGATGATCATCTTTGAAAACCACAGACACCACCACTCAAGTGTCTTCTGCCACCTGTACCACCTTCTCCAGATGATAATCTTTGGAGACCACAGACACCACCACTCAAGTGTCTTCTGCCACCTATACCACCTTCTCCGGATGATCATCTTTGGAGACCACAGACACCACCACTCAAGTGTCTTCTGGCATCTCTACCACCTTCTTTAGATGATCATCTTTGAAAACCACAGACGCCACCACTCGAGTATCTTCTGATACCTCTACTGTCGTCTCCGGCTGATTATTTTCTGAGACGACACACAGCTTCCATCCATTGTCCTCTGGGACCTCAACCACTTTCTCCAACTGAAAATTTTTGAGATTACAAGTAGCTCCACTATTTGAGTGTCCCCTTGGACCTCACCCACCTATTTCAATAGAGTGTCTTCTGGTATCTCTTCACCTTCCTGATGATCTTCTGAGACCACAGACACCTCCACCTGAGTGTACTCTAGTTCCTCTCCCACCATCTTCAGCTGAAGATTTCCTAAGAAAATCTTCACCCGCACACCTCAACCTGAGTGTCCTCTGGTATCTCTACCACTCTCCAGCTGAAGATGTTCTGAGGCCTCACACACCACCACTTGAGTGTTCTCTGATACCTCTGCCATCATCTCAAGCTGAAGACTTTCTGAGCCCACACACTCCTCCACCCGAGTGGAATCTGTTACCTTTACCATCTTCTACAGCTAATGACTTTCTGGCAGACCACAGGCAGCTCCACCACTTGAGCATTTCCTGGAACCTCAACTTCCTATTTCAGTCACGTGTCCTCTGGGACTTCAACCACCTACTTCACTCGAATGTCCTGCGCCACCTCAACCATATTCTCCAAGTGAAGATTCTCTGAGACCACAGTCACCTCCTTCAGTCAAGTGCTCTCTGGTATCTCCACCATCTTCTCCAGCTGGTGATCTTCTGAAACCACAGACACCTCCAGCAATTGAGTGTCCTCTGAGACTTCCTTTATGTCTTCCAACTATTTGTTTTGTGGGACCTCTAGCACCTCCTCCAGCTGCACCTCCTATGGGACCTTATCTACCTCATCCAGGTGTCTGTCCTGAGGTACCTCAACCACCTCATCCATCTGTCTGTCATGTGGGACCCCATCCACCTCATCCACCTGTGTATCCTGGAGGACCCCATGCACCTCATCCAGATGTCTGTCCTGGGGGACCCCATCCACCTCATCCACCTGTCTATCCTGGGGGACCCCATCCACCCCATCCAGATGTCTGTCCTGGGGGACCCCATCCACCTCATCCAGATGTCTGTCCTGGGGGACCCCATCCACCTCATCCAGATGTCTGTCCTGGGGGACCCCATCCACCTCATCCAGATGTCTGTCCTGGGGGACCCCATGCACCTCATCCAGATGTCTGTCCTGGGGGACCCCATCCACCTCATCCAGATGTCTGTCCTGGGGGACCCCATCCACCTCATCCAGATGTCTGTCCTGGGGGACCCCATCCACCTCATCCAGATGTCTGTCCTGGGGGACCCCATCCACCTCATCCAGATGTCTGTCCTGGGGGATCCCATGCACCTCATCCAGATGTCTGTCCTGGGGGACCCCATCCACCTCATCCAGATGTCTGTCCTGGGGGACCCCATCCACCTCATCCAGATGTCTGTCCTGGGGGACCCCATCCACCTCATCCAGATGTCTGTCCTGGGGGACCCCATCCACCTCATCCAGATGTCTGTCCTGGGGGACCCCATCCACCTCATCCACCTGTCTATCCTGGGGGACCCCATCCACCTCATCCAGATGTCTGTCCTGGGGGACCCCATCCACCTCATCCACCTGTCTGTTCTGGAGAGCCCCATCCACCTCATCCATCTGTCTGTCCTGGGGGACCCCATCCACCTCATCCACCTGTCTGTTCTGGAGAGCCCCATCCACCTCATCCATCTGTCTGTCCTGGAGGACCCCATCCACCTCATCAATCTGTCTGTCCTGGGGGACCCAATCCACCTCATCCACCTGTCTGTCCTGGAGAGCCCCATCCACCTCATTTATCTGTCTGTCCTGGAGGACCCCATCCACCTCATCCAGGTGTCTGTCCTGGAGGACCCCATCTGCCTCATCAATCTATCTGTCCTGGAGGACCCCATCCACCTCATCCACCTGTCTGTCCTGGAGAGCCCCATCCACCTCATCCATCTGTCTGTCCTGGGGGACCCCATCCACCTCATCCCTCTCTCTGTTCTGGGGGGCCCTATCCACCTCATCCAGCTCTCTTTCCTGGGGGACTTCATCTTCTTCCTCCAGCAGTGTGGCCTCTGGGACCTCAGCCTACTGTTCCATATAGTGGCTACTGGCACCTCGGCCACCTTCTCTACCTTGGTGGCCTCCCTTAGCTATCACCTTCACGTGAGTCTCCTCTAGGACCTAAAGAATCTCCTCATGACCTCTCAGCCCTCAGCCACCTCCTTCCTAGGTTTTCTCTCATACTTCGACCACCTCCTTCACTTGGCTGACCTGCTGTCTCAACCGACACTCAACCTTCACCTGACTGTCCCCTCGGACTTCACCCCCTCCTCTAGTCATGCAGCCTCTGAGACCTCGACCAACACCTCTAAATGCACCACTTGATGTGTTGATTTGAACGGTATAAAGTAATTTGTAAAAAAATTCATCTCTTCTTTTTTGAGTGAATAGAAAGAAACGGCACAGATGGTCCTGCAGGGCTTTGCAGTACAAGGTGACACTGGCTGAGATCCTGGTCACTTTTCTCAGGTTTCTGAGAGTACACAGTCGGTTGCAGTATTTCCTCATCATGAGTTTGGCAGCAGGTATCTCTTGTAGATAAAGACACATTTTGTGTTTTTTGTGGGGACAGTCTCACTGTGTCACCCAGGCTGGAGTGCAGTGGTGCAATCCTGGCTCAGTGCAGCCTCCGTCTCCAGGGTTCAGGTGATCCTCCCACCTTAGCCTTCAGAGCAGCAGCTGGGACTACAGTCACACACCACCACATTTGGCTTCTTTTTATTTTTTAAATTTTGAGATGGAGTCTCACTCTGTAGCCAGGCTACAGTGCAGTGGCACCATCTTGGCTGACTACAACCTCTGCCTCTTAGGTTCAAGCAGTTCTCCTGCCTCTGCCTCCCAAGTAGCTGGTGCCACAGGTGCATGTCCCCATGCCCAACTAATTTTTTGTATTTTTAGCAGTGACAGCGTTTCACCATGTTGGCCAGGACAGTCTTGATCTACTGATCTCTTGATCTGCTCGCCTTGCCCTCTGAAAGTGCTGGGATTACACACATGAGCCACAGTGCCCAGACTTTTTTTTTTTTTTTTTTCTTTTTTTGAGATGGAATCTCGCTTTGCCACCAGGCTGGAGTGCAGTGGTTCGATCTCAGATCTCAGCTCACTGCAGTCTCTGCCTCCCGGGTTCAAGTGATTCTTCTGCCTCAGCCTCCTGAGTAGTTGAGACTACAGGTGCATACCATCACACCTGGCTAATTTTTGTATTTTTGGTAGAGACAGGGTCTCACCATATTGGCCAGGCTGGTGTTTAATTCCTGACCTCAGATGATCCACCCACCTCGGCCTCCCAAAGTGCTGGGATTACAGGTGTGAGCCACCATGCCTTCTCTCTCTCTCTCTCTCTCTCTCTCTCTCTCTCTTTAAAACTTTGTGTAGAGACTGTGTTTCACCGTGTTGCCCAGGCTGGTCTTAAACTTCTGGACTCATGCCATCTGCCAACTTAGGCCTTCCAAAGTGCTGAGATTACAGGCTTCAGCCACTAGCCCAGCCAGAGATTGTGTATAGAAGCCAGAAATAGCAGTTCTGCAGGTGTGCATCAAACCTGGGCCACATGGCCGACTCTGTGAGGGATGAGACCCGTCCCTGACTTGCAGGGCATCCTGTCTTTTCCAGCAGAGAGATCCACACTAAAGGGCACAGAGCTTGTGACCACCCACCCACAGTGGAAGCACAAGTGAAGGGACCCGGGGTGCAAAAGAAAGAGACCGAATCTCCTGGGAACAAGTAGGAGGCTGTGAAAGAGAAGGCTGGAGCTGGTTGGTTTTCACTTGGGGGTCTGTGTAACTCAGGTGGAGCTGGAAGGCTCCTGGCTGGGCAAGCAGTGTGAGCAGGAGCATGGAGGCTGCATGAGGGCCCCATAGAGCTGCCACGGGAGAGCTCAGATGGCCTGGTGTGCACAGGGAATTATGCCTTCAGCACTTGCTCATTGCCCTCCTGCCCTTAGTCCATTATCTCTAGGAATGATGATTCTTTCCCTGGGTGTGTGACGTCTCTGGATCAGGGTGAATGAATGCCTAGAGCTCTGGGAAGTTTCACTTGGTTCTGTCAGGGGCCCTGTCTGCCCTACTGTTTGTGGTGCCGGGAGACTAACAGTGAGGATGGGTCTGGTTTAGTGGAGCTGCGCCTTGGTCTTGAGAATCAGGTCAACTCTGGCGGGAAACTCAAAGCCAATCCTGAGCTGTTCTGGCGTCATCTTCTCCCCAGCAACCTCTCTTTCCCCCTGCGACTCCCAGCTTTGCCTCTCCCAACCTTGGCATGTAGAATCCTCCCCCTTTGCTGTGTTCCTGCTGCCTGAGCCCAGACACCAATTCTCAGTGGGGCTCAGAGCCCCAGCTTTCTCAGAAATGAGCTGGGACTGATGTGGTTATGAGGTCATGGTGAGGACAAGGAGACCAAGCCCACAAGGAAAGCATCTTGCAAAATAGCTGCTAAAAGGGAGAAGCTCCTCCCTCCCACTGGTTACATGAGAACATTCCCACTCAAGATCAGCATGAGATGTTCATTTAAGTTTATTAATGTTAGGGTGTGACAGCTCAGGCCCTGGGATTTCCAATCTCTGTTTCAAAAGAT